AGTAAAAATAGCTCACTTGACTTTCAAGATTTAAAATGAGCATTATATAAACACCAAAACCAAACATTACAGAAAGCATGAAAATAGTTGTTGCTTGATAAGAACGAGGAACTTCCAGTTCCCATATCTTAGGATAAACAGTAAATGTTTCCGCAAGTTGCAGCATCAGAATGGAAAAGATAAGAAAATGTCGTGATCGATGTGCAGCGTGTTGCGCATGAAATAACTCCAATGAGTCGTTGTATAAATCCTTCACAGCACTACAAAACAACATTATTGGTAATTATGTGTGTTGTTAATATTTATTACTAATTTACTTTAATGCATGCTTTAAACACATATCTTTGATGTTGTGGTTGAAATCAATATTATTGCATAATTGACAAATATTTCCAACATCATCTCGAATTTCTTGCAGTAGGTTATTAACATGCACAAAACCTTCTCTCACTACCAAATTCATCACAAACGAATAACACATTTTTACTGTCCATGATAACAGCACATGTAATTTTTCTAAAATTAATGGGTTTTCTTGTTGGTAAATCGTATTACACATAAACCCAATGCATAACATGTAAATTGCAAGCATGTCTAAGAGTAGTCCAGTTCGTAGAGATTTTGTAAATTTACTCGCATATGTTACATTGAAACGCGCCAGTTTCTCTTCGATTTTTTTCATTTTATGCACAATTGACATAATAGTAGAGCCATTTGTGTAGTAATCCAAATACCCAAAGATTTGCAGTGCAGAGGCCAATATGTATATAATCAATTGTATCATTTGGATTACTATTGTATTTGTGTTGTTTTCATGCAAAGGAAAGTAGTACCCCAGCGTGAATATAACAATTATAGCGTGAATTAAATGTTTGCAACGTGTGAGAAATGTTGTTTCCATAATCATTTTATTACTAACATTATCAAACACAAAACATTCATTGGTGAACACGTAGGAAACGAGAAAGAACGGTTCGAATAACTTGATTATTTGACTCATCGTCGCGGAATGACTGTGGAAATGGTGAAGGGGAATTGTCTACGAGTACTAATCTTTTATGTTTTATAAATGTAGTTCTCTAATTTTAGATATATTTTTTGGGTATTATGCTTCATTAGTTGGTAATTTTATCCTGTTTCTATGTTGTATATTTATGAAAATCCATTCAATTTTATGTTTTGCAGGTTATGTTACCCGGTCTAAACATAGGTTATGTTGCGTTGTTGATTTAATTTTTTATTAATAATGGTAATGTGCAATGAAAATCAATGATTTTAATAATCTATATTTTATCCAAATAAGTATAGGTATATTATTTGCATTACTATAATTATTTAATGAATAATTTTGAAAAATTCATTATTGGCATAGAATATAATATATTATTCATTTAATAATATAATAGGTTTATTTTTATCTTTTAAGCAAAACAAGTTAACCTGGCATGTAAATCGTACACTTGTCGAAACACACGAAATTCCCGTTCCTATTTGCTGTTGTCGGGAGGCGGCTGAGCGTGGACGAGTTGACGTCGTTGAAATTTCTTTGTCCTCGTGCGCTCGCTTGTGTTACCGCTTCAGTTTTACTCTGCAGTTTACATAAGTAATTAGAAGCAGCGAGGCAGTTTCGCTGTTCGGGCGTAGGGGCGGCAGAATCAGCAGACGCCTCCACCGACGGTTGCCGCCAAAACGGCCGTGTACGACGTGCACCTAGAGACTTAATTTAATAACAGGGAGAAACACGCTGTGGATGCTCAAAGTGAAGTTGGCGCTGCATGTGGAAGGAGTTATGTCGAAGGCGGCAGGTCGCAGCTGCACACCAACCGGTCTACTCAGAAATACGCCAGAAGTAGTGGCAAAACGGGCGCGAGATGTGTCGAAGCCAGTGTGTAGGAGGCGGCGGGGTGGCGGCAAGCTGCGCACGTAATTACTTTGGCGAAGACCCTTGTAGCATAGGACACGCACCAAGCCACATATTTCAGCACTCTCAGTATATTCGTACAAACATATTCACAACAATGATTTAAAAATTGTATCCATTGTGTATTTACTTATAAAAGCAACTGATTGATGATATTTTGAGCGTAAAAAAACATTAATTGTAATTTTGTGAATTTATCCCTGATAGGAATGCCTGGATCGCATTGAGATGGCTTAATTAAATCTTTGACAGTCGTACATCGTCGTCGATCGCAGTTGGAGCGAATCTCGGCGATCCTAAAACCCTATTACTCTCGTTTTCCCCCGTTTTCCGACAGACGTACTTTGACGGCACAATCCCTCTGATTGTTTTCCTTTTATCAATACTGCGCCCAGCCTGCGATCCAACAATTCGAGGATCTAACTGCTTAGCCATTAGGAACATACGTCGCCAGCGTAACGTGCTCCTTTCAGGATTTATCGACATCATTGTGCGCATTTTAATATCAATAGATATAAATATTTTTTTTATCTGAACGATTATTTCGATTATTATGAATGCAGACTTGAAGTTGTAGTGCTCTCAAAACCGACAAATCATTAAATCAAGTGGGACAAAAAGGACCTTGGTTGGGGAGGATAATAGTCCACAACCATATAAAAATTGCAGAAAATCATATAATAAATTTAAATGAATAAACCAATAATAATAGTATATTAAGTAACAAGTGGCTAAACGAGGGCATTACAGACGAGAATTGATTGAGAGCGAGCGTAGCGAGCGGTCAATCAATCGAGTCTTTAACAACGTTTACCCACGAGGTACTAACGCTATTTTTTCTACTTCCACTGTATTTCAACTTATGTATTTAAAATCATCGAAATGTGCTTGCATACTACTACAAACCGTAAAATTATAAATGTCGTGCCCCGCGCCGGCCTATGTGACACTTTGGTTCACATCATGCCCCTCCGATACGAACACCAGCAGCACCTGCTTTGACGTGTTTGACTGATGTCGCATGGCATTTCATACCGCCTCGTGCTGCTCCGTAGGCAAATGCTCAGGCGGCTGCTCCGTCCCGTGCATAAAACAAGTACATAATGAATATTATGTACGGCTTGGCCGTCCGTATATAAAGTATCACTTTTTATGTCTAAAAACAGCGGAAAAAGTGGCGTTTTATAGGTGGAAGTAGAAGAAAGAAAAAAATTGAGCGTAAATTGAAATATATTGACATATTGACATTGTATCTATAATATTTGCTACAATATTCACAATAATAATAGATATACGAGTATTAATCAATTGCAAATTTTATCTTCACAAATGAAAAACAATGCAGTTCCGCATGGATAATCGTTCCAAGTGAATTGTTTGACAAGGGCAGGCCAAAGATGCACACAATGTTCAGCACCCGCCACGTTATCTGGCTCAAGAAGGGCCCAATTGGTGTAGGTGAATGGTTGTCCCGTAGACATCCATACATAACTTCCTTGTTTAGCCTGATCTGTGGCCGAAGTCCACATCCATTCTAATGGTTTTGCTATAAAAGTTTAAAAAATCAATATTTGTATATATTTTTAAAAATTTGAGTTCTACTATCTCACTTACAGGAAGCTTTAATTGCTGCATTTATATCGTCTTGTTCAGCTTGCGAGTTGATTGTAGCAAGTTGATACCCTTGAGATTCACAGTATTCATATGCTGCGTACCAGTTAAGCTGTAATTATTTAGAATTATTTATTGCACAAGCATTTTAAATAGTTATGTTCCTACTTTTGTTGTTGTTTGAACGTAATAATTTTTTGCTAGTGTTGTTGTTGTTAGAATAGCAAAAATTGCAAATAACACTAACTTCTTATATACTGACATTGTTATAATTCAAATTGTCTTGTACTTCACTTAATTAATTGGTGAATGAAGACCAGGATACACTGATGATTGTTAGCATCATAGATTGACTTATATAAGACCTTATTATTTGAGTAATTGAACAATTCTTGGTTTGTGGTGCAATTGCGTATTGTACATTGGATATATTTCGTAACAGTTACTTTCTTCGTAGAATTAATTGTCCTATATTTACAATAAAGTGAACAATATTTTATTGTGCATAGTGTTTGCTGTGATATTTTTTACATTGATATAGTTAGGTAAATGTTATTTATGGGTAAATATGATAATGTATATAAATTATTTTTCCGGACCGATGTGATTTGCACTTAGATTATGTGAGAGTTTGATAAGCTGCATCTGGTCGTGGTCATTTCATGAAACAGGTCGCAAAGGGTACCTATTACGTAAAGTTTATCAAGGATTGTTGTAATTATTAATAACTTGCAGTAAATGTCTGGTATACATATTTGTTCACAAATGTATAATATGTTTAATTTAAAGGTTAATTTTAATTCCTGGTGTTTTGCAAATCAAAAGATTTCTACGAAATAGTATATTAAGTAACAAGTGGCTAAACGAAGGCATTATAGACGATATTAATTGAGGGCAAGCGTAGCGAGCAGTCAATCAATCGAGTTTTTACTCGAGGTGCCACGAGGTGCTTACGCTATTTTTTCTACTTCCACTCTAGTTCCACGTTCCGGTTTTTGTATTTCAACTTTTGTATTTTAAATCATCGAAATTTGCTCGCACACTTATACAAACTATAAGGTTCTAAAAGCCGTGCAAAACCGTGGAAAAACTGACGCTTTATAGGTGGAAGTAGAAAAAGATATATTTCAACAAAGAATCTAGGTTAGATTGTTACCTGAAGCCCAGTAATATGTTTTTAATACATCTATAACAATGCACAAAGAAATAAATTAATTTAAAATAAACATATTGAAGTATAACAATAAAATATTACTAAATGTTATCTTTCAAAACTTTCTCAAGTTGTTGTTGTTCTTACTTATAACAATCAATCGGACACTGCGAATTTGCCTTGGACAGTTGTGAACCTATTAAACCAAAAAGAAGAAGGTAATAAGAAGATGGTTAGAAGTAATTAGATTTTGCTACATTTTTCTTTTAATTATTTTAATCAAGGCGACCTTAAAGTATATGACAATAATATAGGTTTAAGATTTTTAAAATTTTTGATTAAAATTTCACATATTTACAATATATACAAGTTAATAAATTTGGTAATAAATTTACAATAGTTGGTTAATACGGGTTGTAACCACACCATCCGAATGATCATTACATCCACAATTATTATTGCAATTATTATTAGAATTGTTATTCTTTTTGCAAGTTTTATCCTCGCAGACGTAGTACATCTGAACTGAGCACGCTCTATCATTCCAGCCAATTTTACCAGGTGCTATGGAATATAACTGCAAGCAACTGCATTTATTGTAGGTGAAAGGTTTTCCTGTAGAAAACCAAACAAACGCACCTTCTTGCGCTTGATCTGTACCGGAAAGCCAGAATTGTTCGGTTGACTTGCCTATGGAAAAATGTGAGTATTTATTACTATGTACAAAACAAAAAACTATTTTTGTATATTTTACGGTTATTTTACCTGATGCGATTATGGTATTTTCAAGATCAGTTTCTTCTGCTTGGGAGCTGACTATTGCCAATTGTCGATTTTGAGATGCACACGATTGATATGCAGCGTATCAGTTGAGTTATAATCAAATATTACTTTAAGTACTTAATTTAAATATAAAGTGAACTTAGCAATGATTCAATACCAAGCCAACTTTACTCCTTTATTTTGAACACTACAACTTTAATTTTTGCAACAAAACATATCCATATGCTTTTCATTGCTTAAAATTGTTTCTGTAGGAAAATTTATCAATAATAGTTCGGTTGTTTTGGCGTAAAGGAATCACAAACATACCAACTTGTAATCGTACAATACAACGTAAGACTAAAAAGACTTAACAGTTAAGTGATGTTAATACTTACTTTAGTTGTAGATTGTACGTAGTATTTCTTAGCTTGCGTTTGATGTAGCACTAGCACAATTACCATTAATGCTATGCAGATAAAAAAATACGATCCAAAATACTGTCCATAATGATTTTTATACTAATGAAACACAATTACTAGTATCAATTAATAATTGAACAATTATTTAATATAAGAGTACAATAAAGAAATGCATAAGTTTAAAAATAAATACTTAAATTTGCGTCACGAATACAAATTTAATTTCTTCAGATTTTTATATTGTATTTTGTAATATCATCATTTAATCTAGAGTTATATCAAAAACAATTGGTTTAGAGCAATCTGGTATGTCTTCACAAATGTAGTATAGCGGGTGGGAACAAATGTAATCATTCCAAAGAATTTTGTCAGAGAATTTCCATATAGTCATACAATGTTCAACAGAGTCAATGTTATTTGGTTCATTAGTAGCCCATCTGCTAAATATTACTGGTTTTCCTGAACTCATCCAAACAAACTTTCCTTCTTCAGCTTGATCAGTGCCCGAAGTCCAATATGATGTAAGAGGTAATCCTAAAACATTTGAACAATAAATAAGTATATTTCATTTTTGGGGAATAACAGTCACCGGCATCCGTCGTTTGTTTTTCAAGATCATTTTGATCAGCTTCGGAATGTATCGTCAACAAAGTCATATTTCTAGAGTGACAATCATGAAAGGCAGCATACCAATTTAACTAAAAACATATAATTTTAGTACATAATTTCTGGGAATAAATAAAATATACTTTAGTGATGTGACCGAAGTAATAATGTTTTGACGACACTTCTGATGTTAATAATCCCACAAATATAATTATTGTAAGTTTATATATAACTATTGGCGACGTTGTTGAAGTCATTTTAAAGATGTAAACTGTTACGATGAGTTATAAACAGAGCTATACTGTTTTATATATCCACTACCGGAGATAAATATAACTTTTATCAACTGTGGGTCAAAGTTACATAGATAAAGTTTGCTTTAAAATTTTATTATCAATTAACATTAGGTTTTTCCAATTTTTGAAAACAACTATTATGTGCGACAATTTTTGGGTTTATTCTCACAGATGTAGACTAATAATTTATTACAGGGCCAATCATTCCAAAAACAACTCCGTTGTGTTCCTAGACTATCAAGCCTACCAGCGCTAAACTTTTTATAAGCAAAATGGTAAATCTGGTAGTCATCCAAACAAATTTCCCTTCTTCCCCCAAATCTGTTCCGGCAATCCACATCCATTCTTTTAGTGAATTTAAACACCACCAAATAATTTCTAAACGTTATAATTGATATAATATACGAGTAAGTTTTATTTACCAACACAATTTACTGATTTTTTTAGAGAGAGTCTTGCAAACAAAGACTGGCTAATTGCAAACCTCGCAATTGACAGTCTGGATATGCGCCATGTCAGTTGAGCTGCAAATACAAAAACATTAATTTAAGATTTTTTTTATAGAAAAAGAAATACTTTGTTTCTAAATATGTAGTACTTTTTAGCAGAGACTGCTGCAACTAATACTAATACTAATAGTAAAACATTATTCATTTTTAAGTTTTAAGTCTTAAATTTAGTCGTTTATTCAATTTTTAAGATAAATAACTTCAAAATCATATAAATATGTATTATATAAGTACGGGTATTCCCTGGTATTTATAGTATATTTAAAGATAAGTATATTGTGCGAGCTTACCGAATATATTATTGAAAAATATTAAATATTACAAATTTATTTTAAGTGTGCATTTCAAATTTGAAATATTTTTGAAATAATTTTAATACAATATTCATATATATGGACTCACTCACTCAAGTCAGTGATTTTGATGCCAATTTTTATCTCAAAAGTACATCTTTAACGAAGATAATCCTGAAAATTTGGGCTTGATATAATTAAATTCCACCCCTGGAGAAATTTTTGAATTTTCAAAAATGTTGCGTAGATTCTATTAAAGTATACCCCAAGAGAAGACATTAGATGCTGGTTATCCCTTAACTTCAAATACTGTACATATACCTATTTTATAAATAGGTAAAATTTTACCAAAACAGTTTGTTAGTCAGAGATAATTAGATAAACTCGATATAAGTTTAGACTAAATATCTATTCTTTTTTTCTCAAAAGTAGAGAGTCGACTAAGAAGAATTCCGTTTGGTAGGAGTCTTTAAATTGAATAGAAGCTGAGATATAAGTTATTGAATCAATAAAAAAAATCAACATTTTTGAAAATCAAATAATTTTCCAGCGGCCGAATTTTATTATATCGGGCCCAAATTTTCAGGATCGTCTTCTTGAATGGCGTACTTTTGAGAAAAAATCGGTATTAAAATAGCTGACCTAAGTGCGCACACTTTCGTTGAGAATTAATGGATCTGCTCAGATATATAAATAATTTAAAACGTGTATTTTTAATTTGTTATTTATTATTTGTATATATTTTACATCTCTTCTTTTGAACGATTACAGTGGCATCGCATTGGTTTATCTTCGCATACGTATGACAATTTCTGGGTACATTCCCAATCATTCCAAGTTACTTCTGATGTATTAGTTTGATTAGGCCATAAATGAACACAGTGTTCCCTATTTCCCCAATTATCGGGTTGACCAGATCCAAAATTGTTGTATTGGAATGGTTTACCAGTACTCATCCACACAAATTTCCCTTCTTCGCGAAGATCAGTTCCTGAGATCCACATCCAATCTGCGGCGGCATCTAATATGAAGGATTATTTATTAAAATATCATATAATTAACTTAAATTTAATTTAAATTTATTTACCAGCAGCATGTACTGCTTTATTTAATGCACGTTCTTGTTTACTAGATTCGATCGTAGCTAATTGCATGCATCGTGATTGGCAGTCTTGATACGCTCCAAACCAGTTGAGCTAAGGAAATGTTTTGTTTTAAGTAGTAATTATAATCGTCAATGCCATTATATTATAATACCTTATTTCTAAAAACGTAATAGTTTTTCGAAGAAGCAGCTACAATAAATATAGCTACTAAAAGTAATCGTGGGAAACACTCCATTTTTTGTTTCAATAAATAACTATACTACAATCTACTCCAATTTATAGTAGTATAAGTCAATAATTTATTTGGAGATAACTTCTTTCTGCGTCATAACTGCATAATGCTTGATAATATTTTACGCGTGGAAAACAAATATTTTAGCGATTAACTTAACAAAAAAGTGTTTTAATAATTAAGGGCATACATAATGTTCAAATACACATTTACACATTCTATGTACATTATTGTAAATTACGGTAATTATAAAATTATTATTTCTAATTTTGATTCAAGTAAAAGGTTGCAAATATAGTTGTAATTATTATTACTAACATATATCTTCGCAAATATAGTACAAGAGTTGTGAGCACTCATAATCGTTCCAATGAATTTGATTATTGGGTACAGGCCAAACATGGACACAATCCTCATTATTTCCGTAATCATCAGGCTGATCATCACTCCATTTAGTGTAAGTAAAGGGCTCATTAGTGGACGCCCACTCAAAGCAATCTTCTTGTTCTTGATCAGTACCTGACGTCCACATCCACTCGCAATCTTTGCCTTTAAATTTAAATGAAACTTTGATACCTTTAAATTTTATAATAGTTTATGACTCACCAGCTGCAATCATTTGAAATTCAAGCGATGCTTCTTCAAGAGCAGAGTTAATTGTAGCCAGTCGTTTGTTCTCCGCTTTACATGCATCAAAAGCATCATACCAGTCCAGCTTTTTAAAGAATCAATTACATATGAATGAGATTTTTTAAAGTCATAATATTTCGATTATTCATACTTTTGTATCTGTTCGCAGGTAGTATTGTTTAAATATTGCTTCAACCAATGTTCCCGGAGATAATAAAACAAGAAAAATCACAATGATATATTTCATTTTAATATTATTTTTTTTATCAAGATCTGAATGATCGTGGGAGTATATATATGACAAGATATATATACGAGTAAAATACGTAAAAAATATATCTTAATGAGTTTTATAATCGTAAAAGATAACAAATAACAATACAATGTATTTAATTGCAATTAATTGCTTATTTATATAAATCTGATGCTATTTACGAAAGAAAATATGCTTTGCTCCTGATCTTAATTATCTGGTAAACATATTTAAACATGGAATTTTTTATTCATACTTTATAAAATAAAAAAATGAGTAAAAGATATTTGTTAATATATACACATATTTATTTCTTGATATTCTATGAAAGTTATTATCATGCAAGTGCGTGCGTAATTTTAATGTAATTTTAATGCAAATTACATTTTGTCCCAAATAATGTTTTGAAATCAGTTCATTAGTTACGTCTGTTTAATAATTATGTAAATTATTTGGTAATATCAATGGCATAACATGTATTTTTAAGCTTTGAATGTTTTGACATTGTTTTAATGAAGCATTAAACATCAAGAAAATATTATTTAACCCATCATTGTTCTATCCTCACAAATATAATACAATTCTTTCCAGCAGTGCCAATCATTCCAATAAATCGATCCAAATCCATTGTTAGGAACGGGCCATACGTGCACGCAATGTTCGCTCCTGTCCATATTATCAGGTTGTCCTGCACTCCATCTGGTATATATGAATGGTTTTCCAGTACTCATCCATAGAAAGTTTCCTTCTTGACCTTGATCAGTGCCTGAGGTCCACATCCATTCTTGGACCATATCTAATTAAAGATCCCATAGTAACATAAATTCTTTTTTAAATATTTGTTATTACGTACTATTCGCTTTGATAACTTTTTCAAGATCTGCCTGTTCCGCAGCTGAGTTAATTGTTGCCAATTGCAAATTGCGTGATTTACAATCTTGAAAAGCTGAATACCAGTTAAGCTAAAACAAATAAATGATATAATATTATTGTACGCACAATATTTTGGTGATATTACTTTGTAAATTCTAAATATGTAGTAATTTTTAGCAGAAACTATTGTTACTGCCAATAATACTACAATTGATATCAATAAAGGTTTCATTTTGAATTGTTACAAACAACGTTCTGGATATTTACTGTTTGCATTTTGTGTGTCAAAATATTTAAAGCAGATCTACAAAATTTATTCATGATAATTAATTCAAAGGTAACCAAATTATTCATAGGTAAATTGCCAGTTTTGTTTCATGTTTTGGCGAGGTTGGCAACTATTATCAGACCGTATTTATAGATTTCAAGTACTTTTAGTTTTTTTTTCCATATGTAAGAAAATAATAATATTTAGGTTTTATAATTTACTAGCGACCCGCCCCGGCTTCGCACGGAAGAAAAAAACCGCATCAAAATCCGTTGCGTAGTTTCAAAGATTTAAGCATACAAAGGGACAGACAGAGAAAGCGACTTTCCTTCTCCAAACAAAAACATCAACCGGTCAACTTCAACCCAGTAGTACACACATACACACGTCTATGCTTGGGGGGGGGGAAGCTACGAAGCATCGCACAAAGAGGAGACGTAATAACAGACAAATAATTAGCAATAAATTAAAATTGCGACTATAATTTGAGATTTAAACTATCCTATCTCTCAAGTTGGATCGAACTGCACATAGTGTGCGAATTTTATTATAATCGGTTAAGTGGTTTAGGAGTCCATTGAGGACAAACATTGTGACACGAGATTTATATATATTAAGAAGATATGTACCTACACTGCGGCATAACATAACAAAGAATTAAACAATCTGTAACACAATACCGAGTAGGCAAAATCCAAAAATGTAAATAAGTTTTCTTAAATTGCTTACGAAAAATATCTTGAATAATATTATGTATATTTTGTTTTTGTAATAGTAGGTTGCCTATTATGTCTATTAGAAATTGCAGTCTATAAAAATGAGACAATTGAACAGTGTATATTATCTATATATATAAAAGAAAGTCGTGTTGGTTAACTCCTTTATAACTAAAGAACGGCTAATCCAATTTAGCAAAAAATTGGTGGATAGGTAGCTTAGGGCCAGGAGAAGGTAATAGGATACTTTTTGAAGTGAAAACTTTTCTAAAAGGGCACTAAACGACACTAAAAAGAGACAAACATATTTGCGTATATGGATTATCTTGCGGGAGAATAAGAGAACGCAAATACAAAGTTTTCTATTATCCCCTTCTCCTCTTTGTGCGTTGCTTCGTAGCATAGACGTGTGTATGTGTGTACGTGTGGGTTGAAGTTGACCGGTTGATGTTTTTGTTTGGAGAAGGTTACTAGGATACTTTTTGAAGTGAAAACTCCTTTAGAGAACACTAAACGACACTAAAAGGAAACAAACATATTCGCTTATATGGTTTAGCCTACGGGAGAAAAAGAGCACACAAATATAATGTTTTCTATTATCTCCGTCTGCCCTTTGTGCAATTCATAGCTTCCCCCTAAGCATAGACGTGCGATTTGTAGCGTCCCCCTAAGCCTAGACGTGCGTGAAACGTTACATTTTTAAAGGAAACCGCAACCCAAATCAGTGTAAAAGGAAACAAACATATTCGCTTATATGGTTTAGCCTACGGGAAAAAAAGAGCACACCAGTATAATGTTTTTATCTCCGTCTCCCCTTTGTGCGATTCGTAGCGTCCTCCTAAGCATAGACGTGCGTGGGTTTGTACGTGTTGGTTGAAGTTGCCCGGTTGATGTGTTTGTTTGAATAAGACTTAGTAAGTGTAGGATACGTTTTTAAATACTTTTTTAAATGAAAACTTCTTTGGAAGATACTAAACAAGTTTTCTCCGTCTCTTCTTTGTGCGATGCTTCGTAGCATCCCCACTCAACATGCAGCGACCAAAACGATCAAATCTTATCCGACAAAACCGTAATGCAACTAGGATTCGAAGGATTGCGAATGAAAGGACTGAAGAAGAACAAGAAATTGCACGTGAAAAGCGAGGCGGAACAAAGTTTGCCGGGTCAGCTAGTATATATATATATATTTTTTTTTACTTTTACCTATAAGCTCCAGTTTTTCCACGGTTTTTAAACACAAGAAGTGGTACTTTGCATACACCTGAGCATTTTAAAAATTCAAAAGTTTAAATACAAAAACCTAAATGTGGAAATAGAATGGAAGTAGAAAAAAAAGCGTGTCTAAACATTGTTAATCACTCGATTCATTAAACGATCGCTACGCTCACTCTCAATCAATCTCGTGAGTAAAGCCCTCGTTGATACTTACCACATGATACTTACTTAATATACCAGTAAATGAACCGTTTAACATGAGTTCAAATAATGGTATTTTTGATTCATAAAAATCCTGATTTTTTCATTTAATTGTTTTTATTTAGATGGAATTGTCGGTAGAGTACCTGCATCCTTTAAATTATGACCGAATATTCATATGACAAATACCAAAATTGTTTAAAATTGCATTATTATCATAATTATTATCATATAGAATAAAAGATAAAAGCATTTACAGAATGTCTATACAAATCAATACTACATAATTTACAAGAGTTTGTCTAGAAGTGTTTGTAAAACACCGCCGGAACCATCATCATGCCCACCACAATTATTATTATTATTATTATTATTGTTATTGTTGTTATTATCTTTGCAGACTTTATCCTCACAGATGAAGCTCAAGAGATGAGTGCATTGCCAATCGTTCCAGTTGATTTGTCCAGCTGGCATGGGCCATACGTGAACGCAGTTTTCGTTTCCAAGAGCATTGTCCGGTTGGGTGGGGCTCCACTTGGTAAAAGTGAAGGGTTTTCCAGTAGACATCCAGACGAATGCACCTTCTTTTGCTTGGTCTGTACCAGAAGTCCACATCCATTCAGCTGCTTTGCCTTTAAAAATCAACAAGAAACAATGTTATACCGTTTTCCGTCAAACTATGATATATTATTTAATTACCAGCTGCTTTCATCGTATTTTCAAGATCAGTCTGCTCAGCTTGTGAATTGATAGTGGCAAGTTGTAAGTTTTGGGCAGCACATGCCTCAAAAGCGGCATACCAGTTCAACTACAGGAAATATTGAAATGATACGAATTATTATTTTTTAAACATTATTCTTATTAACATTACTTTCGTAGCTGTTTGTAGATAATATTTTTTAGCTGAAACATTATCGATAGCTCCAATAAGGACAATCATTGTAATGGTAGGTATAACTTTCATTTTTTAAAAACGTTTTACTTAAACGGTTGCTTTGTTGTTGATAAGGTGAATCAATACAATGATAATTATCTGAAATTTCACTGCATTTTATACTACCAAGAAATTACTTAATGAAAATATTGAATCACGCAAGTGAATAAGGTATTGTTCTGTAATCAACAGTATTTTCAGATTGTTGTTCATTCATGTAATCAATTACGACACTCTATAGAACAATGCATTAAGAATATAATTAGACAGGTATATATAATTTGTTTCATTCAATTAGTGTTTAATTAAGAATTTAATACTAGAATGATACTGTTTATTTTTCATAAATATTACCAAGCGTACATAATTTTTAATTTAACGTGTAAAATATGAGTATTTTTCAAATAGAAGTAAATTGTCATCAACCAACCAAACCTATATTTGATACCTGGTTAATCAACGTGGTAGGTACTTACTCAATCAATTTTCAAAGTTTGTGCGTTTTCCATGGTAGAACAGAGGAGAGAACAGAGTAGTAGAACAGAATAGCGAATTTTATTGTATTTTATTTATAATTCAATTGTAGTGTAAACTTATTAAATTGTAAATTTATCTTTTTAAGGGTTCTGGTGGTAAGTGCAATTCCGATTTATATTAGAAAATTGAAGTTTTGATTTATAACTGTAGAGGTGTTTTATAATATTTTTATTTGCTTAAAAATAAATTGATAGCAAATAAAACGAGAGTAAAAAACAATCTTTGACATAGGGTTAAAAGTCACATTTTTCTAATTTTACAATTACTGTAATAGTTCCTAAATACAGTTATAATATTTGTAAGACCTTGTACAATATAAGCTAAATGGACAATCAATTGATGCAATGTGCCTTTTCTTAATCAATAGACGGTACATTAGTGTGTAAATAATTAGATAGTAAAAAGTAGGCAATAAAAAATACTAGATTAGTTCAATCATACAATGTAGATGAATGGAAGGAATTGTATTGTTTAGTATCAAATAACAATTTTAATTAGATGTATACTGTTTTAATTAAATCATTAATAATTCAATACATTATTCATAATATTATACAAATTGATATGAAAATATTGAAAATGATATATGTTTTATCACTTGAAATCATTATTTACAAAAGTTGATCAAGAAGTGTAGTTACTAGACCTCCCGAATTTCCTCCTTCGCAGCCACAACTTGTACCATGTCCACAATTGTTATTATTGTCGTTTGGGCAGATTTTATCCTCGCAGATAAAATACAAAAGCTGTGAGCATTGTAAGTCGTTCCAGTTGATTTGTCCAGCGGGCACGGGCCAAACATGCACACAGTTTTCGACTTCACGTAATTCAGGTGCCAATAAGTCAGGTTGTGTGGGGCTCCATGAAGTATAGGTGAAGGGTTGTCCTGAAGAAAACCAAACAAAGGAGCCCTCTGTTGCCTGATCTGTACCGGAAGTCCACATCCATTCATTGGCGAATCCTGTAATGAGCAAATTAAGATTAAATTATTCTAAATAAATTTTCGATATCATGTACTAACCAGCTGCCTTCATAGTATTTTCCAAATCAGTTTGTTCAGCTTGGGAGTTGATTGTGGCAAGTTGTAAGTTTTGAGCCGCGCATGCCTCGAAAGCTGCATACCAATTTACCTAGAAACGAATAAAACAAATATTAATCATGCTTTTAAAGCTTTGAATAAATTATTTACTTTAGTAGTAGTTTGTAGATAGTACTTTTTTGCTGATGCATTATCAATCAGCCCAAAAACCAGCAATATCGAGCAGGATGCAATAAACAATTTCATTTTTGTATATTTTTGATTAATAACTCAGTAATGACTTTGTAAGTTACTTGTACTGTTGATGTACTGCTTGTGATAATTATCTCAATTCTCCCTGTATTTATATCATAAATTTAATATCATAAATATGAAAAACACTATTATTATGCAATTGCATATGGGATTGTTTTAAAATAAATATATCTTCTTTGTAGCAATATGAAGTGTAAACATATAAAAGTAATTGTTCTTCAGTTAAACATTCCGTTAAAAATATATAATATATATTGTCATACTCCACTTACCTTCCGGTGTCGGATTTTTCTTTTACAGTTACATTTTTTTTCTTACATATTTTAAATATTTCTAATTCTTAATTTACGTGTTTATAAATTTTTTCCACTCTCTTCAATTTCTACATAACATTATAGCCTCTATTATAGTTAATTTTCTGCTATCTAAATTTTCCTAAATTTCCTAAAATTTCCCTTACTAAACAATACTTTTCTTTCCTTGGTCTTCCTCTCTTTCCACTTCCGTTCGGTCTTGCCATCCACACTCTTTTTGCTTGTGATTGATCATTCATTCCACCAACTTAGCGTTCTTCTTTCTATGTACACTTTAATATCTTCTATCTCTAGTTCCTGTCTTATTATTTCATTTCTCACTTTGTCAAGCCTAGTCTTTTTGCTACTGTTCTTAGGTATTTCATTTCTATCGCCTGTATTCTACTCTTGTCATTTTCATTTAGCACCCATGTTTCACACCCGTATGATAGAATTGGCCTATATATTACTTTGAACACTTTAATTTTGGTTTAATTCGCTATTTCTTTTTTATTTATTATTATTCTATTAAATTGGTAATATAATTTAGCAGTTTTCTCAATTCTGGAACTTATTCCTAATTTGTTTTTCTCGTCTTTTATAATATTTATTCCAAAGTAACAGAAGCTATTGACTTGACCTAAATTATTATGGTCTATTTTGATTTTCAATATTCTTCGCTTATAATCATGACATTTGTTTTAGTTTTCTTTATTGTCAGAGCAAATTATTTTAACGCATTATTACATATTGTCATATTATTTTGCAAATTTTCCTCCTTTTTGCTATTAACATAATATCATCTGCAAATGCTGCTTGACTAATTCTAACTGGTACCATGTTATTATATCCTATTGTAATTTGTTTGTATTTCTGATTTACATTTTTAATTATCTCATCGATATATACATAATAAATAATGTTGGTCTCAATCCTGCCCCTTGTCTCAGCTCATTATTAGTTTTAAAGGTTTATGAAATTTTGCCTTCATAAATTATTCTGTTTTCATTATTATTGTACATTTGACGCACTATTCTGATTATTTTATCACTAATACCTATATTTTTTAATATTGTCTATAATTTTACTCAATTCACTGTATCGAAAGTTTTTTCTACATCTATGAATCCAAGGTATATATTTTTTTCGATTTTGATATAATTTCTCTATTAACTTCTTTATTGTGAATTTTTTTTATATTGTGATCTTTTTTTCTAAATTTTTCCAGTATCATTATGGCAGTGTTGATGATAGTGATTCCTCTATAACTTGCGCAGTTCTCCTTGTCTCCTTTCTTGTAAATAGGTGTTAGTAGTGATGTAAGCCAATCCTTAGGTATATCTACCCCATTCCATATATTTTGCATTATTGTATATATATAGTTGTTTGGTAGCTACTTCTCCAATGTTCATCATCATTTTGGCGTCAATTTTATCTTCGCCTGCTGCTTTACCAAGCCTCAGTTCTCTTAGTACTATTTTAATATTCTCCTCTGAGATGTTTTCTTCTTCTTGTTCTAGTTGTTCTGTAAATTCACATTCTTCTGGTATTTCAATCTCATTTGTGTTGAGTTGTTCTTCAAAATACTCTTTCCATCTTCTGATAATTCTGTCTTCGTTTGTTAACACAGTTCCTTTTTTGTCTATTATTTGTTTGTTTTGATACTGCTTGCTTCTTCTGCATCCTTTTATTACGTTGTAAAATAATTTTTTGTTATGTTTACTATTATTTTCTATTATATTTCCAAATTTCTTCCAATTCTTTCTTTTTGCTTCTAATACTATCTTCTTAGCTTTTGCCCTTCTTTCTTGATATTCCTTGTATTTTTCATGTCGTCTTTTTTGTAAATATTGTTTCCAAGCCTTCTCCTTTTCCTTTTGTTGGGGCGAAACCTGCGTTGCTTGTCTTCCAGGTTCCGAAGACGGTTTGCCCGATTTTTGTTTGCGATGCTCAAGCGACTCTGACTGAGTTTAGCCGGTCTAACATCGCGCTCCAAGATATGATAGTGATGTGGTGGATGAGATATGCAGTGAAGAAAACTCTTGCTGATTTTAACCGTTTATTTACCGTGTTACTTGCACAAGAGCTCAAGAGCGAATGAATTTTATAAATCAAGTAAATGCAGATCTTGGGGACATTCCTGCTAACGTTGCAAGAATGATGCAGCTGCTGTCTGGACTGACCGGGAGAACAAAGTATATAATTGCAGCTGTCCCCTGGCAGGTGTTTGCCAAATGTATGATAACAATTCGCCGCGTTATCAATACGTTTGTCGGACTTGGCCCGAACACCATTATCGCTTCCTTTATTTCTTCAGTCCACCATTTGGTTTGGTTCTTCTTCATTACATTGTAAAGTCCGCATTCTTCAATTGCTGTCTCGAGCATTGCTTCTTTCTTCTTTCATCTGTCTCCATAGCTCTGCTGCCCGTTGTGTATCTTGAAGTTCTTTAAGTTTCTGGTCCAGTCTCTCTTTACTCGTATATTTGATGCTTTCCGCTTAATTTCTTCATTTGTATGTCTTTATTTTTCGATATGTGTTCTTGTTTTTGCACAACTAAACACAACTAAATAGACAATCAATTGATGCAATATTCCCCAAATTCTGTCACGTGCCTTGTCTCAATCAGTAAACGTTGACTTTCTCCAGTTGAAATTTTAATATACTTGTTAGCGTGTAAATTACTGGGCGGTAGGAAATAAGCAATAATAAATAGCTGGTTAGTTTAACTATAAAATGCAGATGAATTGAAGGAATTGTATTTTTATTTGTATTAAATAACAATTTTAATTAAATGTGTACTGTTTTAATTAAATCATTAATTATTCAATACAGTATTCATTATGTTATACAAATTGATATACATATCATTAAACAATTAATATGCAAAGATTAAATATGATATATATTTTTTCACTTGAGCTCATTATTTACAAAAGTTGATCAAGAAGTGTAGTTACTAGACCTTCTGAATTTCCTCCTTCGCAGCCACAACTGTTACCATGCCCACAATTGTTATTATTGTTGTTTGAGCAGATTTTATCCTCGCAGATAAAATACAAAAGCTCTGTGCAATACCAGTCGTTCCAGTTGATTTGTCCAGCGGGTATGGGCCAAACATGCACACAGTTTTCGACTTCACGTAATTCAGGTGCCAATAAGTCAGGTTGTGTGGGGCTCCATGAAGTATTGGTGAAGGGTTGTCCTGAAGAAAACCAAACAAAGGAGATCTGTACCGGAAGTCCACATCCATTCATTGGCTAATCCTGTAATAAACAAATTAAAATTATATTGTTCTAAATAAATTTATTTTATCAAATAGTTACCAGCTGCCTTCATAGTATTTTCCAAATCAGTTTGTTCTGATTGGGAGTTAATAGTGACAAGTTATAAGTTTTGAGCCGCACAAGCCTCGTAAGCTGCATATCAATTTACCTAGATACAAATAAAACAAATATTAATCATGCTTTTAAAACTTTGAATAAAATAATTACTTTAGTAGTAGTTTGTAGATAGTACTTTTTTGCTGATGCCTTATCAATAAGCCCAAAAACCATCAATATTGAGCAGGATGCAATTAACAATTTCATTTTTGTATATTTTTGATTAATAACTTAGTAATGACTTTGTAAGTTACTTGTACTGTTGATGTACTGCTTGTGATAATTATCTCAATTCTCCCTGTATTTATATCATAAATTTAATATCATCAATATGAAAAGCACTAAAATTATGCAATTCAATACGGAATTGTTTTAAAATAAAAAGTGTAAACATATGAAGGTAATTGTTCTTTAGTTAAACATTACTAATATTATGCAATGTTGGAAAGTTAAAAATATGTTGTTAATTGTGATAAGTTAAATTGAAATTGGAAAAAGTGCATGCAATAAATAGTTTCATTTTTGGTATATTTTGAAGTGAAACTTTCCTAGAATCTGTGTGATTTGATACTAGACAGCAAAATCAAAAACAGTAATTGGCGCTGTATATCAATAGTGCATTTCACAGAAAAAACAAACAATATTTTCCATTCTACCTGGCTATCATTTCCCAGAAATGGAAAAAATATTTTTTACTCTAACTATCTAACTAACGCATGTGAACTGAGCACACAATTTTATGCCGTTGTAAACAACAGAAATGTGAAGGACTGAAACCTCCAAAACTACGTAAAAATAAAATTTGAAATTTGGTGTAACGTTGCATTGCCTGTTTTTAAATATAACTGCAATATGGAGAAAAATATGAAATGCTCTGCATTGGGAAATACACTGTTTTGAGCAACAATTAATTCATCATCGTAGGCGCAAGGAGGTTATCGAAGGCTTGTATTGTTTTAGGAATTTGACGCTAAAATTGTTTTCTTTAATAGCTGTGTGGTATTTTGTGCGGTATGTCTGTGGTTATATAAAAAGCAAAGAAGCTATTTCTTTATCGAATTAGAATGGCCACAATCATTTTAAGTATATCGAAAATGTAGCATTCCTACTTGTACGTAGGTAGGATAAGATTTTATGATATAATTGCCAAATATTTTTAGAAACTGTTGGAACTAGCCCGGAATTTTTCTGACATCCACAATTATTATTATTACTGTATGTTTTGTATTCACACATAAAGGTCAGGAGTGTTGTGCATTGTAAATCGTACCAATTGATCAGCCTGGCATGCATGGGACACATTGCGACACCTTCG